ACGCGCGTTAAGCATCTGGTTTTCGTAACTTGTGGGTTTGTAGGCCAAAGCTAGAGCTTTTTTGCAAGAAGTCATAGAAAAGGCCACGCGTTTGCCTTCTTCAAGCATCGTAAGGCCTATACGCATAGCTTCTGATCCTTTATTCGGGTCATAAAAAATTTTTACAGACTCGCCTTTACGTGACTGGCACTTGTTATCGAAAATTCGTACATCTCCACCCCGATATTGCCTTAAAAAGGTAAAGTTGATTGATTTCCAAAAGCATCCATGGCTACAATGTGGACAGCAGACTTCAGCAAATCTCGCATAGCGTTTTCCGATTTGCTCCAGTTTTTGCTAAAGAATCAAGTATTTCTTTGTTTTTCCAGTAGCTACGGGTGAACGGACAAAGTTGTAGTAGGTTTTTCACTTAAAAAATCTAGATAAACGTCCAAGTAATCCTCTATTTAATTTACATTGATAATTTTTGCAGATATATCTGTAAGCAATTGTGGACATTAACATAACTTCCTTTTTCTTTTTTTTTTTTTTTTTTTTTTTTTTTTTTAGTTTTTTTGTTTGGCTCAGGCTCGACTCTGTCTGATACCTTATCGAATACTAATCCCTTGTGATCTGGCTTGTATTGTTTCTGGCGATAACATTTAAGTATAAAATATCCATTTTTTCGAACAAACCCGCATAACCGATCTTTTTCATGTATATTGTGCTTGACTTTTCCAACATTAAGCCACTTGTACTTTTGAGCGACTAAATTAGCTCCCTTAATCAACGCATTTTCATCCCGCTTCTGTTGGTTTTTCGTCTGAAAAGTTCGTAGCCAAATTTCAGAACAATACGATTTTTGTTGGACCAAATAATATTCTAATCGGTTAAAACCGGGCTCAACAGAAGAAATAGCAGGTCTTTTTACACGTCTTTTGCCGAACCAAGAATTCGAAGACTAAATCGCGATTTAGGAAGCCCCAATAAAGTTGGAATATGGTTTCCCAACCAATTTAATAACTTTTTTCGTAAAGCCTTGAAGTTCTCTATAATCTACAAATCGAGCATATGGGAATATAATATGCCAACTACATTTATTCGCATCGGATGAACTAGCCAAAGCAAAACATTTGCGCGATGCATAACTTTTTAAATTAGTATAAATTACATCTATAGAAGCATCTAAAATTCGGATAATTAAATCTCGGCGAGCAATTTTTCATTATCTAATGAAGGAAGAATCGAGTCACGTTTTTGTCTTGCATCAATATCCGCAGTGGTTTGTTTCCATCAATAATTTCGTGTGTATCAGGTTTTCCGTAAACTTCAGAAGGATGATCAATTAACGCAAAGCCTTTGCCTGCCGCTTGAATAATATATTAATTTCTTTTGGATGAAAAGCTTCAAAATTTTTTTTCTTCCCAAAGAGAATTAGAAAATTTTTTATTATACTTTTCATCATCGCAATGTTCATCGTCATAGTATTCATCATCATAGTACTCGTCGTGATAATTACTAATATAATTTTTTTTCGCATATTCCAGATGGAAACAATTTTTGAAAATAAAAATGGGTTATATTACTCAAATTGTAATCAAGATCCGTTAAATTCTGAAATTCAATTAATACCCGTAGATAAACCCTCGTTATTATTAAAAGATCGTTTTGAGATCTGACTGAAAGATTAGGGGATTTTGCGTATTCTAGTAAGAGTATTTCAAACAAATCGTTATTCTCTTTTTGTTTAGAAGTAACGATTTTATTTATCTCCTCAGACATTCCATGTTCTGCTTTGCAGAAGGGTAGTTCACAATCTTGACTAGGATATTCCCTAGACATTTTGTTGATCTGTAATGTTGGTTTATTGATTATAATAAAAGCGACTGAAATGTTCAATTCGAAAAATAATTATTTCATATAGAAATTGAAAGTAACCGATTACAGTTATTAATAATGGGATTTTACTCCTGTACACATATTTACATTAATGGACGTGTTTGCGGAAAAGGCTGTTATCGGCAAGAAGGTTGTGCCCTTTATTGGAAAATGCAATTACGCTTTCCTTGCGGAGAATGCGGCACCAACCGCTTCTAATACGGTATGTGTGCACAACATGCAGCAAAACACCGCAATAAAGCAAATTATTGGAATAAAAGAAACATGAATATGTACAGAATGCGAGTAACTAGGTACGTCTATTTCATATAACGCGAAAAAAAATGACCGAAAGATTAAATTGGTGTTTGATGAAATGAAAAAATGTTGCTGGGGGTACCGCTGCATTTGATGCAATAAATTTATATTTGTGAGGCAAAGCCGTTCACGCGGCCTCCAATATTTATTTTCCCATATAGGTTTTAATACAATAAACCACAAAACAGCGATAACCAATAAGATAAGTAAGTAAAGAATACGCGATTGCAGGTGAATTCTGACAATAGGAATCGCCTCTTCGGACAATAGACATATGTGAGTCAGACTTCATCTGCTCTATATTTTGTGTCGAGCTATTTATAGCGGAGCAAGTAGAAAATTTACGTGTATTCTCACTACTTTTTATTGATTATGAACTTGGCTTTTTAATCAAAAAGGACTAAGACTAAACTCAGGAGCATCCTCGTTCTGCGAGTCAACTGTTAGGGTATCAAGTTTATTATATATTAGAAGGGCTTCCCTGAGAAGAAGCGGAGCTCTGCCCTTTGGCAGCTTATTAGATACTAATTCATGCTGCTTTACATCTCCACAAACTACAGACTCAGTGGTAGAATCAGAGACTCCAGGCTTTGCCTGTTCTTTCTGAAAAGCGGAGCTTCGAGGCTCTGCCTCTCTGAGGTTGAAACATTGGGTTTTTTACATTCTAATGTTGATTTGTGAGTGGCTTCCAACCTTAAGCGCGTCAGCTCGATTTTCGACTTATTTAAATCAGAATCTTTCTCTGATACGTCTTTTTGAGTTAAAGCTAATTTGTCTTCCAACGTTTAATAATGAATTGAAGCGATTTTATCTCACTTGATTTTGTAGCAATTTTTTCGATTTCCAACTTAGTCAATTTGTCTTTAAGAGATAATTTTTTTTTGACAAGTCTTCTTTATCTTGAGCTGAAGCAAATTTTCATCCCAGATTGAAGTGATTTTATCTCCCTTGACTTCATAGTAATCTGGTCCTTGCATTGCGCCAGAGAAATTTCTTTATTAGAACCTTTGATTCGTAATCATTAGCAACCTCCAAGGCATAGGTGTGTATTTTCTGAATCTCAGTGCTATTCTGTGTTAAACTGCGTTTCAACTGTCTTCGCCTTGCTTTAGAATATTATTCCGTAATTTCGCATTGTATTCACGCAACTTAGATGTCGCTTCAAAGTTACGAATTTTTCTCCGAGGTCTCGCTTCCTATCAACCATAAGTATAAATATAATGAATAAAAAGGAGTAAATTTATTTTTGAATGGGTTTTAACGATATAAAGCGTTCCAATTTGTTTGTTAACATTTTTTTTAAGATATTATCCAAAATTGTGTCAGAGAGTGGTACCACAGCACTAGCGAAATTGTAAATAAATAATTTTCGAACAATTTTTAACGACACAAAACGTTTTATTTATTAGGTAACAATTTTTACCGTTCTAGAATATTAACCAAAAATTGGAATATGACTACTTCATTTATCGTCGAGGTGCCACGAAATTGACTCCTGAGTGAATCGAAAAAATTAGAACGCTAAAAAATAAAGCACCCACATATGCAATAGTAAATAAATACCATATTCGCAGTGAGCGTATTCTTGATATATGGAACAATTCCGAACAACTTCAACAAGATGTAAAATGCTTGCCTGATCTTTCGGCGAAAGGATGCAAAGCATCTCCGACTTCAAAATCTATGAAAATTAGCGGGACCCGTACGGTTGAAACTGACACAATTGATTACTGTCCATTGGAAACAGAGCAGATGAGACAAAGTTCCAAGCTATGCTTTCCATACCAAATTAAGTTTGTTTTTTTGCTATCTGTAATAAAAATTTATTGGCTTTGATCAGTTTGGTGTTGGATTCAAGGACTTTGTACAATGATTTTTCAAGCTCCTCATAGCCTATGCGTTTTTTTAACGGTTCGAGATTAGCCGTACGGTGCGGTACCGCACTCTGCGATTCGGATAAAATAGCATGATTAGATACTGACAAATCTGTGCACTTAGAGAGTATATAGAGATCGGTCCGATTGTATATTCGCAAAACAAACGAATGGAAATTTTCATGGGTTTACGAGACGCAAAAACAACTCCGCGAAACCCAAGCGGATATTCATGCAGTTTCTATCGATCCTGGCGTTCGTACACCCTCCCACTAAAGGCGTAGGTAAAATTGGCCAATACGACATTGGACGAATCTTTCGCCTATGCAAGCATATGGACAATCTCCTTTCTATAAAGGACAAACTGGCTGAAACGTAGGAAGAAACAGGCCTCGCTCGCGACTTGATAAGGCAATCTCTCGGATGCGACGAAAAACCAAACACCTGCAAAGCGAAGTTCATAAAAAGAGTATCGCATTTTTCACTCGCGAATATTCGATGCCATTATCATCCCTTCTTTTGAGGTGTCGAACATGCTAAATCGAAAAACAAGAAAGATAACGTTCGCAAAATGCTCTGCTGGGGCCACTATCAATTTCGCCAACGCCTGGTGGCTAAAGCAGAAGAATTAGGGGTCCGTGTTATTATCCAAAACGAGGCCTATACTTCCAAAACTTGCAGCTGGTGTGGGATCGTTCAAAAAATAGGAGGGTCCGAGACGTACAAGTGTCGAAATTGTGGATCGAGATGAAAATGGCGCTCGGGGAATCTTTCTCCGGGCATTGCTTTATGGAGCCTTGATTTTCTCCGGATAAATAGCCACCATCTACCATCCGTCTAATACTAAACATGATTTACCCTGCATAACGTCCCTGAAAATCGATTTCTGGTTTACACCAGGATCGGCCCATTAAAGGGACTGTTTGATATTGACAAGTTCACATAATACCAATGCAGTGTGACGGTTTGTCTTCAAATAACAAACTTAGGTAAATTGAAAACTGCCAACGATTTAATCACGTTGAGTAATGTGGCTGTAGTTCTTCTTTGTTCAGAACATTAATTTCCCTATTTCCCATGACGATCACCGAATAAGAGGCAGACAAGCAAAGCTATTGGCGAGTAATATAGAACTGCAGGAATCAAGAAGTATAGAAAGTACGTGTATTTATTGAATAGACATAAATTAATGAGAGCAGTAACTTCATTATCGACCGAATGCAGAATTGGAACTAATAAGATGGCCAACGAAGCGAAAACAACTTGAATGGAGGTTAGCCGTCTCATCATCTGCTCACTCACTGTGTCATCGACATGCAAGCTTAACAATCTATTCTTATGTTTTTTTTTCAAGGTACACGCCCCATGACTTGCCGGATTATGACGAGCCAAACATTTCTGAACTTTCATCGATTGTCAACATATCCGCCATATCACCATCAGTAAACATTGCTCTCACGCCTTCGACGAAGCGGCAAAAGTCGATTCCGCATCACAAGACGTATTCTTACGACATAGATGCTGAAAATACTGATAGAGCTCTGGCTGTTGAGATTAGAACACTCATAGATCGCATTCAATTCGACAGCAAATCTCGTTTAACAGAGAAAGGATATCTGGAGATATTTATTGAAGATCAGTTAGGGGAAATGTTGGATGTCCTAGGGCTGCTGTTTAAACATGCTTCAAGTGAGCAGATAAGAAAATGCTTACGCAAAGGAACTTCATAATTGATCTAATCAATCATCTGATCGACTGTAGCGCTGCGGTCTGTCGAGCGAAACCATCTACCATCTATTTCAATGTCACAAATGCCATCTCAAAATCTTTCAGATGACGATGAACAGACGAGACAATTTTTGCATAATAATACAGAGCAAGTAGCCCGGCCATCTGGTTCACAACCATCTAACAAAGCAAGTAGTAAAATCTATGATGAAGTAGTCATTACGTGGGAACATGTTTTATATGCTGCTCAAGCCATAGGACTGCCAGACAATGTGATAGAGGCTACTTATGAGAAAATAGCACCGAAATTTGATCCGGAAAGGAACTTTCTAGGTGAGCTGAAGTATTAAATTACGAACTCTTAATTTACATCCTTTAAACGATCGTTTATTACCAGGACTCGGGAGTTCAAAGTTTCAAAGTGTTATCGAAGAAGCTACAAGAAAATAGTTGTGTTCTTGTCTTATTTACGTGGTTAAATGAATGTTTGATCGTTTTTACATTGAAAGTTGTATATTAGCTTATTCAATTGAAAACCGGATAGAGATCTGCTGTTCGACTATGATAAAACGAATACTAATATTAGCTACTACCAAACAATAAATAATTATAATATTGTTATACTACGAGTTACTATCTCATTCACAAAAACCTTTTGACAGCGTCATCCATTTCACTATGCGCATATACTGGCGCACCCCAACCACCACCACCTGGTGTACAGATAACGATTCTGTCCCCAGCATTGACTTTCACTGTATTCTTTCCGCACAAGTTCAAAACTCTGCTGTTGCCATCTCCTTCCTTTCGAATCCAGAGATTTAAACCTCTTGCACCACACTTGCCATTGTTTAGGCCATACGGATGATAGACACGGCGTTCCGATAGAATGCTCACTTGAAGCGATTCACGGAATTCTAAATCACGAATCACTCCGTCGCCACCTTTATGGAGTCCTGCACCGCCAGAACCTGTTGAGGAAGTGTTGCAGGGAGGGTTATTGTCAAATGATGAAATAAACCAAGAATATGTTGAAAGTTATGAAATTTCCAACCTCTTCGCAGAGAGAATTCACGGAGTAACACGGAATGATCATAACGTCTTTCTAAAATTTCTGGATCTGTGATTCTGGTATTGGTCATGTGCTAGTAATAAAAAAAAATCACCCAAGTCAGCTTCAAATCCACTGTATTCCTCGAAATCTTTGCAGTGAGTCATACCGTATGAACACCACTTTGTCCATGCCAAGTAGGCCCAGCTCCGCTACCTGATCAACATAAAAAGATGTTAAATATCTACACTTCTCTTAGATAGGTTCCTGTTCATTTCTCCCCCAGCGATTACCTCCAGCAATAGTTTCATAATATCCCCAGCCTTCCACAACTTTCCCACTCTCGTCGACTTTTCCACCTTTTCCGAAGGTCAAATTATTGCAATCACCCTGACTAGCGGCACAAGCCCCGAAAGCCTTAAGAATTACGTCAACAACACGCTGTGAAGTGAGCACGTTTCCGCCAACTACAGCAGCTTTCTCCGACGGATTCAGGAAAGAATTGGATGGAATGCGGATTGTTATCGGTGTAAGACAGCCTTGGTTGAGTGGGATATCATTTGCAATTAAGGAACGGAGGCAATATATTATTGCACTATGCGTCACCTTAAAATTTAGGGAATGCGAATGTTAGCATGTAAAAGGTGACGAATACACGATAGAAAATAATGTGTCTGGAAGACTTACCGCCGGTGGAGCATTCGTGTTTCCTAGAGCACAGCAGTTTTTTTTTTGAAGAGATAAACCCAATTAGTATAACTTTAATCTTGGTATGACAACCAGACTCTTCATCTTACCGTAAACTTCTGGTCCGGTCCCATGAAAATCAAACACAGCCGTTCCATCCTCCTCATCAATCGTGATTTCCAAACATATTGGCGATCCATCATCCATATGATCCACGGCCTTCAACGAACGTCCAACTTTTCTTGAAATTTCCTTCAACAAAGATCTAACAGACAGTTCTGCACTCTTTCTTATATACAACATATAAGCTTGTACGACATCCAAACCGTATTCTTGAATTAACGCTTTTACTAACGTAATGCCTTTATGATTCGCCGCCACTTGGGCTTTGAGATCCGAAATATTATCAGGAAGGCACCTAGTTCCGCTACATCCTGGGTATTGTGCTGGTCGATGAAGAAGTATGTCAGTTAATCCGGCTTCATCAAACTCGCCTTTTGACACAAGTTTAAATGATTTGACTGCTGCTCCTTCTTGATAAAGCTCTTTAGAATTGGGTGGCATTGATCCAGGAAGTATGCCGCCAATGTCAGCGTGATGGCCACGGGAGGCGACGAAGAAGACTATTTTGCCTTTGTTAAAGACGGGCGTGATTACTGTTATATCTGGTAGATGCGACCCACCAGCCTGTGGATGATTGGTTAGGATAACATCACCGTCTTCAAGACCATCTTTGTAATATTCCATTTGATAGGTTACTGCTTGACTCATACTTCCTAGATGGACCGGGATGTGCGGCGCGTTAGCGATTAGACCGCCGTCTGGCCCAAACAAGGCACACGAGAAATCGAGCCTTTCTTTGATATTTGTTGATATTGCTGTTTTTTGTAACGTTAATCCCATTTGCTCTGCAATACTCATAAAACGATGACCAAAAATAGATAATTGAATAGGATCGAGTTCTGCAGTGACTTTAGCTCGGGTTCCATCACCAGCCGTGATATAGACATGTGAAGAGGTTACCAGGGCGTTACAGCCAGGAATCACGACAATTGTCGAATTTGCGTCAATGATCATTGCTGGTCCGGGGATACGATCGCCAATTCGGAGATTCTCCAAAAAATATACCGGCGTATCTAAGCGACCACCTTCAAAATAAACGGATTGCGACCCGCTCTTTTGACTGTCATCGATGAGTTTCGGCGTAATCTGCTTTATCTCTTCGAATACGTTCTCGTGAGGTAATTCATTACCTTTTCCAATACCACGAATACGTATATCATCAACAATAATCTCTCGGTTATGTAACGTGAAACCAAACTCTAGGTTATAAGTTTCTACAAAAATACTTGCGAGATCCCACGAATCCTTTGGTTTTAGCGTCATCATCGCGAAATCCGTTCCTTTGTATCTTAAATTGAAATAAATCTCTTGGTGTATCTTGTTAACATCAAAACCTTGTCTGCGCAACTCTTTCGTGCAGTTCTCTGCAAGAACCTGCACACGTTCTTTAAAATAAGGCAAAGAATCGCTATTAAATGCTTTTGCGCAAGGCTCTTGAACTTCATGAACCACATCAGCCAAAGAAAGACCATAGGCAGAGAGGACTGAACTGTAACGATGTACGAGGATTTTGCGGATACCGAGATTAAGAGCGATAGCGCACGCATGCTGCCCTCCGGCACCACCAAAGCAGGTTAAAATGTGGTTGGAAGTATCGTGACCTTTAGCCTCAGTTAGAGCGCGAATTGGACGACACATAGTTTCATTCGCAATTTTGATAAACCTACAAAAACGAGTAAAATTTAGGTAAAACGAAAAGGAGCTATTGATTGAACTGACTCGAATCATTACCCAAAGGCTGCTTCATCAATAGTCATATGCTTATCAGGACTAACACAAAGATTTATTTCATCGACGAGTTCTTCAAAGCGGCCCTGTGTAGCTTTTACGTCCAAAGGCTGATCTTCGTTAGGACCAAAAATTTTTGGAAAATAATCAGGAACCAGTCTGCCAAGAATTAGATTTGCATCTGTAACCGTCAATGGTCCATTTTTCCTGATTTACAAGAATATTTGTACACGTTAGCATCCGCAAGTACAGGATAAACGTAAAACAGATTTCGACGTCTACCTATAGCAAGTTGGGCCTGGATGAGCTCCGGCACTCTTTTGTAAATTGAACAGTGTTAACGTACTTTGATTTAATTCAGTATAACAACAGAACCTGAATTTTAGCTCACTGTAATACCAAAACATTATGTACATACTTCTGGTCCGACAACAAACATGCCATTGCGGAAAAAAAGACGAGAGCCACCGCCGGCAGCGACCTAAACGATTTATAATTTCAGCATGTGTCGAAATGTGCGGTTAAATGCGTTCACCATGTGTACCGTGTTAATATCCAATTGAGGGGCTTGGATTGTTACGCCGGCTGTGGTTGTTTCAAAAACGTGTTCTAACCTTCCATCAAATCGTGACACATCTTGAATGAAGATAGTACAACTACGTTTAAGCATAAAAGACTATAGCAAGATTTCCATTACGACATTCGGAATAATGTTCTTTACCAGTACTCGTGCCTCCCATATCAAATCCAATTACTGGAATTTTTTCAACTTCGTTGTAGGATGTCAAAGCATGACCTATTTCGATTGATCAGAGTTTGTTTAGTCATTTCAAACCAATCCTCATATCTACATATTTTTTGCCCAAGCTCTTTCTTCTCTACACCCAATTGTTTAATACAAACCAACGACTCCGGCAGCGGGTCCAGACAATATAGCCCGGAATCCAGAGAACTTGTCCACTGGAACCAGACCTCCATCACTCTGCATGAATTCCAGCCTAGTATTTTTCTCCAAATTTTCATCAAAACCGGAAATAAACCCATTCACATACTTCTTGATACACGGAGTTAGGTACGCGTCTGCCGTAGACGATGTACCACGAGGTACAGTCTTTATCATTGGCATTATTGATGATGACAAGGAAATATGAGTGAAACCAATTGTAGATGCAAGCTTGCCTACAATACGTTCGTGGTCTATGATACGAGTGGAAACCTTGAGCCCAAATGTAATAGCCTAGTATTTCGATATGTGACAACCACGTTCACAGAATAATAGTTACCTTGGAATGTATATGAGTGTACAAGACAGATTGCAAGACTCCTAAAGCCATCGTCAAAGAGATCCTGCAAGTCCTTCTTGACTTGTTCGTGATCTTTATGGGAAAGCGTTCAGCAATAAAATAAGAGAAATGTTTCTGCTCTACGCATATGAAACAAGTCAGAGTACATATATATACCTGGTTTCTTTAGAATTTTAATATATTCCCCCGTTATACCCTGTACTATATCGGTCGAATTTCCATTAAAGGCTTCATCTGGTACATTGGTACTGTCTCCCACAAGACTCACACTGTGATAACAATTGCTAATTAATCGACTGTACAAGCCTTTGGTCATTCTCTTCAAATAATGCATACCGTTCATCGATCTCAACTACTTTCTCATACAATACACCCGGCTTCTGAATCGCAAGATCGAATATTTTGGGGCGAGATTGATTTCCTATTAAGAATAAATAATTGTAAAAAAAAACTTTGAATCGCAAAAGCCTATATGGCTAATCCCCTAGAGTCTGCTCTTACCAATCAATAGTAGATCCTATAATATTAAGATGCGATAAAGGAATCAATAATTGATTGAGAACTTGTTCGTGGAGGCAATCAGAGACCTACCTTAAATCCTTTTGTAATCAACAATGCACACTTTTCTCCTTTTCGTTCCAACAATGCATTAGTCGCAACAGTTGTTCCCATGCGAATAGACTCTATATGAGGTGCGGAATTAGTAATAAGGCTTTCTTATAACATCAACAATTATGTTACAAACATACCAATCAGAGAAGTATCGATTGGTTGATTTCTTGGATGTTTCTTGCCCGTAGCGATTTCCAAAATTCTTCGGATTCCTTCTCGCGGTGCATCAGGATAGTTCTGCGGGTCCACACTCAACAACTTCACGACCACCTCTTTTCGACCAGATGGATGTTCATCTGACGGTATGCTGCCAATACAATCAGTAAATGTTCCCCCGCGGTCGATGCTTATTCTTATGCCTCCTTGTGACATTGTTTCAATGTACTGTTTGTTTGCTTATGTGAAAACCTTATCATGATAAGTTGGGGCTTTATGTTATCTCCTGACCCAGTAGTTCGGACCCGCTAAAAGATTGGTTTGGCGCTTTTCTCGAATTCATAAAGTCGAAATGTCCCTCCTCTGTGCGGGGGTCAGCAATATTGATACACAGTCAACCGAAGTCCATTGGACTAATGCTAAATATAAACTTAACTTCGGATTAACGAGTTTCTTCATAATAATGGTATTAATCCGAATCTGCTATAGAAAAAAATAATTATTCGGTTTACACACCGTTCAATCTTCTTGGCGATGCTTAGTTTTTTTTCCCAGTCTTTTCATTTTATTGCGATTCTCTGTGCGCACAATAGGGGTTTTCGCTTTTTTTTGGTTCATGATTGAAAAATAAAATCAAATTGCAAACGTTACAGAAAGTTATCTGCTTATCAACTGATGAAATTTTTAATCTTTTGATTATCAAAAATACTTAGGATTAAAGGAAAATCTTCGGATTTAAGGGGTGATATTTAACATGCTATTCCTCGGATCGCGGATTATTTATTGTTATAAAATTTCGGAAAGAAATTTTCTTCGTTATATAACGAGGGCAGCATGCCGATCATATACATATCAGTAAACCTGCTTTTACCGTTACACATTCAAATGCACATGGCATAGCGTGATCGACAAGTATAGTGATATTAATGTTAATATATATTCACAAAATAATATATATAATATGATAATAAATAAATAATATATATGCTATGATTGCATAGTTGAGAGTTGTAGCAAAAACAGGTTGCAAGATCTCTGATATAGCATGTACTACATACGAATTTTCGCTATAGTCCGCATTTTCCAACGGTGGCTCATGTCTCGTCTAAAAATATTCAAGTTATTACTATTATTATGGCAACAAATCTGATGTGATAAACAGGACATGATCTTGCGATCTTGAATGTCATCATATTTTGTCAGTTCCCAAATGCTTGTATGATTCTATGAACCCATCAAGCCTTGGGATTTGGCTTTTCAAACGAGGCCTTTCGTGCTAAACCTATTGGTGACCTAACATGGTTTTCACGCTGTTCTGGACTACGTCGATTTCTTTTGATGGGATTAGTCTATCGGTCGGGGAAATTAACTCTAAACTAAACGCGTTTATAAAGAATTAAATAATAATCATGATGAATTCACGTTCTCTCATTCACTGGCGAAGAACGTAGATGTTTATTTTCCTTATTACTATAAACTATCTTGCAAAACCATTCTCCCGAAGAAATACGAAACCAAGAAACTTCTATTTGTACGACTTTTCCAATCGAGATGGCTCGCGATTGTTTTTGGGCATTCTGATTGCTGTAGGTTTGAGGATAATATAGGTTGCCAGTCAGTGGATTGTCTGAACCAGTCTAATAAACTGAGTCTAGTTATATTGTGGAGATACGAAGGTGATTCATTAATAAGAGAATATCTTGTTGAAAGCTAGGTAGGAAGTTGATACTGTTCACAGCTGAATTAATATAAATTATAACAAGTATTTGTCTTCTAGAATTATTTTCATCAACGATTTATTTGAGTAAATAATTGGCTTGGTGTACTCTTTATACGAGATGCTGTCACTAGTTCCTAAACCTGTCAAAATATCAACGATGCGATTAGTATTGGGAAGTTTGTTAAATGCAGACTGATGGTACATTTACACTTACATTCTGGTAAACCACCCTCCGCTTCCAAAACCTTTCTGTGGTGGCAGCGGCGGTGACGGCAATGGCGGTTGTCGTGGTTGCCGTTGCTGCTGGGTCTGTTCTGGTGGTGGTGATGATGGTGGTGGTGGCTGTTCTTGTAGTTGTAGCTGTTTTGATTGCTGCTGCTGTGGTCGTTTTTGCTGTTGTGATTGCTTTTGTTGCACTTGGTTTTGCTGGCCCTGTTGCTGATATGATTTCAGCGATTTCTGAGCCTTTGCTAGCATCATCTGTTCCTGAAGTAACTTTTTGGCTTGCTTCCTAGCCTGCTTCTTGGTTAGTTTCTTGGCTTTATTATTTGGTTGTTTTGGCGTGTTCGGTTGCGTTATCTTATTAAGACCTCACAAAAGTTAACTTTGCAATCACTGAATCGTCAATTAAAATCACATCTAAACAAATAACTCACAGTAGTCGTCGTAGGCATTGCCACCTTTCCTGTAACCTCCTCCTCCTTTACGACTGTTGTGGACATTGGCCTAAATTTTGCTGCAGGTATCTGAGTCATCTGTGTAAACTTTGCCATTCGGTCTGATGTTACTTCTAACAGTGTGGACAATTTTTCCTGATATAATCTCACTGTTTTTGACAAAGTCACTAGACCAGGTCTCTATAACAACATAATATTCGGATTGAACGTGATATGACATAATATAAACAGACGGACAGCAAATTTTCATCTATAACATAGATTACTCTTACCGTGTCAGTCGTGACAGTTGTCTCGATAAAACTATACATTCGGTTAAACAAAGTAATAGTCAAGAAAAATTGTTGGTCAATCTAGTCTCCTTCGTATACCGCTTACTAAGAATCATTTCATATTCATATTGGACAACACTTCCCACGATTCTCTGATATCTGTCATCTTGGAATCTATCAGACAGATGACAAACTCCCTCACCTGACGCTCACCTTCTTCACCATAATCGAGATAAAGTGCACCGATATAAGCTTCCAATGCTTCACCAAGAACGTTTGGATTGTCCTTTACGGTGCTCCTGTTACAGGAAGAGGACATTACGAGAGTATCCAGGCCTGTCTCATGCGCAAACCGTGCCAATTGACGACGATTCACGAGCAACGCTCGCATATTTGTTAATTCACCTGCCGAAAACGCCGGGTATTTGGTAAAGAGGTGGCGGCAAACTTATAAAGTGAAAGAGGTAATGAATGACCGATAGAAAGATTCATGACAAGAGAAATAATGACATTGGCAGCTACCATGGTAGTCCACTAAACTATCGCCCAAGAACGCCAAACGACCGAAATTGAGTTTGTTCTGTAGTCTTTCCTTTTGCTTTCCATCAGTGTCATGCGTTATTGCAGCGTTCAAAAGTTGCTGATCTCGAATCTGAGGAAGTTTAATTTTCTGTTGGGAAAGAGTTTGGGCTGTATTTTGTGAGAAGTAGCGCACCGACTGATTCGTTTGTAGCACGCGTCTTGTTACGGGAATCATCTGGATATTCTAATTTGAGAACCAAAATTTTTTTTACGGTTTTATATTACAATATTATTGTACGACATTGATTTGGGAAGTTGCTTGAATATCTTTGACTACGTCACCCTTATTATTTAATCTGGATGAGTTGCTGCAGTATTATTTAGACTCGCAGATAGGAAATAATCGATGAACAAATAATATTACACACAATCAGTATATTTTCATATTTCTCGTGAATGCTTGCATGTTTCGCATCAATCAAAAACTTTAAATTCTCTAAATGTAGCAGACATTCGGGTGATTATATGACATCTTATTGAAGGTTGTAGAGACCCGAATGAACATTGATGAGTCACTATCAAGAAGGTTTTCCTAAGATTAAATCTTAATCTTCCTCTTTCACTTCCTCTTCGTCCTCTGGTTTATAGTCTTCATCTTCGTCTTCATCATCGTCTTCATCATCATCTTCATCATCATCTTCTTCTTCATTATAATCCTCGTTTACTGGTTTTTTATAGTCGTCTTCCTGTTCTCCTTTATGGCCATTGCTATCTTGTTTACTTTTAGTTTTATCCTTCCATAATGTACTGGGATTATGTGCTATCTGATTGAAAATATGTCATTTTCGTCAATACGATATACGCGATACAAATATTCAAACATTGTCTCTCCACTCTTGCTACTCACTACATGTCCATGCTGATCCCTAAAGATTACTTTGGGTGGCTTAATAACCTTTGGCTTCTGATCTTCTTCTTTTGTAGTCGCTATTCGCAGAACATAACCTTGTCGTGTACCACCTCTAAATCTAGTGCCCACATAGTCACCTGGTTTTATGTCTTTTTCTTCCAGTGCCTGAATTTAGAGAAAAGAAGTTATACATTTAGATTTAATTATCGTTATGCGCAGAACATGCTCGCCACAAGCACGGAACATACTCTCATTTCCTTCGACGACATGATACGAATTATAACAACTGCCGATATAAAAAGTCGTGTTGTGGGCGGGATGAGACAAAATCTGTATTTTCTCTCGGATTAAACTATATTGATTTTGAGCGTGACGTATTGATTGCGTTTAAGCTTTCGTTCAAATGACGTATCATTTGCGTGTTGACTTCGTCATACGCCGGCTTCTTGTAAATTATGGCACATGAAAGTCAAATCGATGTATCCACAACTAAATGCTGATAGTGTGGGCGATATTAGTTAACTGCAGCGTAATAGACTACGTTGTGGGCCAATTAAAGAAAATTTTCCCTTGATGGATATTAGCATCAGGGAACTTTTAAGTTGACAACGAATTCGTTAACGTGTTGATTATAACATACTGTAAATGTGGCATAATTCGACTAACCTTTTCCGAAATCTCCAAGGATAAATTAGGAAATGTGCAAAGAATGTGCACACGAGTAGATCGTGCGTGAAAAGCGTTTATTAACTTGACACAATGGCTTTTTCCCGATTCGCAAAAAGGGAGCGATTCATACATAGCGAATGGGCGAATCGCGTATTCACTAGTAAATTGTTTGAGCTTTACATTAAAAGAGAAGAGGACTTTGATTGTATTGTGCGCTACTTATATCTAAACAAGGCTTATGCTTTATCATTTCACGTTTAAAAATCCCCCCGATACAGTTCAGCAAACAATTCGACTTCAGTATTGAGTGAATTCACCTATTGTGTACCGCAATCACTAATATCAACTTGCGTAGGTTGATATTAAGATGGTTGCTTGATGTAATCAGCGTGTGACGTTGACCTTTGCTTTCTGACAAGGCTACGTTCCAAATAAATGCTTGTCGGTCCAATAATTTAATTGAGCTTGTTAATTCCACAGTTGACGCGTATTGGTGTTTTATTTCACGCATAGAATAACACTTTTTTGTTTATGGGATCGGCATGTGATCTGCGATGTAATAGGGCAAGGTAGATATTACACAACTGACCACCTTGTTATATCCTCTTCTTCCATAATGTCTCAGAATACAAGACTCTCAATGACTTCCTCTCTACATGATACACGATACGCTAGGCGGACATCGGTTGTGGAAAGGAATTTAAACAAGACTAGATCAGCCGAGGTAATGGCTATTTGCAAAAAGAAAATGAAAGAAACGGACAAACGGATAGAAGCATTTTGACAGAGAAAAATAATTCGTCGATCGTCCGGGCTGAGGAATTAATGAGATATTTGCATTTAGGTCGGACTGAGCGCTTTCGCTTTCTTGTTTTCGGAAATGCTACAGTATACACAGAAGCGTGTTCAGGGTATTCAAGATCTTGAACGAAAGTATGTCCGATTCATGACACTTGACTGGAGGGTGAAGGGCCGATTTCTAGCAAGTTTATGTCAATGTATGAGTCTTACGCGTTGCTTTCTGTTTTAAATTAACAATTTGATCCATCGTCTATCCGTAACGACTCTTATCATCAGATTGAATGATTTTGGCTATCGTGTTGGTACACGATTTTTGGAGCTGATTACGTGGCGGGAGAAGAACAACAGACGAGAAATATCAGTATTGGACATCCTATATTTTATTCACACGACCGTATGGAAAGCACTGTTTGGAAAGCAGGCCGATTCGCTTGAGAAGAGTACAGAGAATAATGATGAATGTAAGATATGATTTCATAAGATGGCGAGTAAACCTCTTTTTGCATACTGAAAATAATATATATCTTTGTCTAGATATGATCTCAGATAACGAGCCCATAATTAGTAAATTTATTTCTGTACCAAAAGATTTGGCATCTTTGAATTGTGGAGCATTCTTGGCGGGAATTGTGGAAGCCATCCTGGACGGATCACAGTTTGTATGTGACTACTAGAGATGATTCATATGTCTATCGTTGGCGTTCCTGTCCTGAATATTAATTCTCCATTAATACTCGCTTCTGCAGCCAGCCCGTGTCACATCGCATACGCTTCCAATAGAAGGATATCCTTTACGAACGACAATATTAATAAAGCTGGACGCAGAAGTATTATTGCGTGAAGAGCAGATCAAATAGATATACTGACTCGAATAGAGGTTACTGGCGGAATGGAACAGATTAACGTGAGTGATAATGCAAAAGCAACTGTGAATGCAAAGCTCATTCTGGTTTTATGCCGGATTGCGTTTGATCTTAGACGTCAATAATTTATTGAAACAAAAAAGAAGCCATGTTTGCAAGCTTTGACACAAATTACATATTTGTCAAATACCCATTGAACGAGCAGCTCAATCAAGTGCCTCAAGAATGCTCTTGATAGCAAATAATAATACAATTATCATAAAAAACAACCCCCCCCGAATCGATTACTTGCGCTTCTGTCACAAGTGGAATTCACTATATATGTCGCATGAATACAAGGAATCGAGTGCGTAACCCTTTTTGTTGCCCCATGTTCAATGAAACTTGCATCCCTATTGAAATATGCGTTTCAAGAATGATCGATCAGTAGATTTGCATTTTAGTTCTCGACCTCTCCTCGCGCAATGAATGCCGAAATATTAGGACTCGCATTATCTAATGTTGTCTGGACGGGTCGTGGACCTATTGGAGAGATGGATTTAGGACACGCATAAAGCAACAAAGTCTTCGATCCCATCTTCCTTTATAGTACATCTACAAGTTGTTGTTTTTTTCAAAGATACTTTCTCTGACTTACCGTTGCAACCGAGTAGGGGAAGTGTATCAGATGCCGCATCTGCTTAGCTTGGTTGAATTACAATTTGTGGTATTAATCTGGTCTCCATTGCAGCATTTATATACAACTTGATAATGAACGAACAATGACTGGCGATTGAAATCCTTACCTTTACAATAGTTCGTGCCACAGACAATGGTTGTTTACCACGTCTTAGTCTCCGCTTGCGAGCGTTACAAATTTATTCAAATCCCTCCACGTCAGTCAAATTTATGATATGTTCTGTTTACAAGAGGTAGCGATGGATAAATAGCTAATATGAGAATTTGTTTGCCGAAATGATCACCTGATTTTTCGAAATATTTATTCATATCCTATACAAGTAAAACCCGCTATAAGAAACGTTTGACAAAAGAAATTGAGCATATTCCGACCCGAACCAGTTTTATATTAATTCCATTCGTGATAAAAAGTTTATACAGTAAATTTCAATATAAATATATCGCGATATAAGAAAAATGTCCGAGTTACATTCGATAAAGAAAATTATAAGAAATGTTACGCTCGATATAAGAGCGAGCTAATGATAAAGTTTTTTACTAGCTTTATACGCGTATTCCTGACGGAATTTGTTACGGGATTTACATACAACAAATATTATGTTCACAAAAAATGACCCTGCATAACGATAACATTGATATGCGGATTTAAACATCGTTAGACTTTTGTCATAAAATTAGCTTATTGCAAACGATCCATTATTGAAACTAATTTGTTCAAACGAAAGAATAATAAATGCAATCTCTGAACCCTCTCATAACGAAAATGAGTGAAGAACTTCGCTGGGAACAGATGTTACTCCCTAAGAAGAACGATCATTCGGTTCTTAGGAATATGCCAAGATACATCATGTAATATTTGACATTATGTTTTCCTGTACGTAATGATTATATAACTTATTCACTTAGATTGATTGACATATTTTGACTCATACAGTATATAAAATTCTCGCTAAGGCCAGTGTCCATCTCTCTTTGTTCTAGGAAAGTTATTAACATATCAATTGATTGAATTCATGTATAAGACAGGAACAATTTTTATAGACAAATATAATTGGTCGAAATATGCGGTTTTGTCGGGATCTCTTTGGGGAAATCAAATTGGTATGGCTGATCTGATCATCAGGTGCATCTGGCTTTCCTACTGCATCCACAAGTGTTTCCATATTGCACCTTGCACAGGCCATGTATAGCTGCTGTTTATCTCCAATATTCAAGCTGGATGATATTATTAACTTAAATAAATTGTTTACGTCATTTATTTGGATTATCGGGGTAAATTTTGATATGGTTGTTTCAGTTTTTTCCTAATAACGATAAAGAGCCATGTTCTAAATCGAGAAAGCGGGAAGTCAAAACAAACACATATGTTTATTGTCAATATTAATATATCGTTTTTCGATTGTAAGAAGATGAAAATAAAAAAGTTATTGGTAAATTAATGGTAGAAAATAATATGACTTTCTACCATGATTAGTAATGCTCAAGTTATACCGTTTCGGCTATTTTATATTTAGTATTAGTTAATTATAATTATAATTATAATTATAGTTGGGTACTATTCGATAGTCGCCGACACCCCCTTAAATTTGCAATTAAATGCAGATATTGACATAATGAGTAATGCAATTAATACTGAACCATATTTACAAAAAATTGTAGTGTGTCAGCTAGTAATATGATAATATTTATATATAGCCAACGTTTGTGTTACCGAAAAAGTTAAAATTAGGCTAAACGACATAAAACTTTAAAATTGTTTAGAAACTAATTCACATAATAAATATGTTGTATATAATTTGTGTCGCTATATCAATTCCGGATTTGCCGTGCCTCGTGATGCCGCGTGATGCCGCGTGATGCCGCATCCAACCTATTATTTACTTCGTGCTTTTTTGCTATTCCATATTTGTTATTTAGACTAACTTGGATTTTAAAATTATGGTTAATTTCTTGCTGATCACCTTCTCGCAATTTTATATATATAGTTATAGGTATATATACCTAACATCATCCATCTCTCACATACTCGATCAACTCCTAGGACGCCTGTACTCTAGATCTCTCTGACTCCTTGGATAAACCCTACTATCATCCTCTCCATTATTACCCGCTCCAAGACTAGATACATCTCCCCCTTCCCTTAATACACAGATCAACGCCAATTTAGGACTTTATTCTCTTCCTCTGCATGTATTGTAGATAGATAAAAACAGCTCAAACTGGGCTTTAGCGAGCACCTTGTTGTGAATAAAAGTCCCTCGCGATAGTAGTTACATACCGATCAATGTTTGAAAATCGATTGCGTAACACAGATATATATCACAGAATAAAATCGAAGGTCGTGGAACTTTCATGCATGATGTCCTGCTATTGTTACTATAAATTCCAAATCTGATTGTCTAACTCGTGCATATGCATTTTCTTTGTGAAAATTTTTTAAAAGGGCAGTATACGAATTTATTTTTTACTCGTCGCTTTATTTTTTTGTCGCTTGCGATTTTTAAATTCTGGATAAATTTTTTTCTTAAAATGGAAGGATTTCTTTTAAACGAAGAACTTGACACAGTTAGGATTGCTACTGCCTTATACAAGAGGGTTTTGACAAATGAGTGGACTGCTGATAGAGATATAGAGGTCAATAATTTTATAGAGACGTTGAATAGAATAATAACCGAAAATACTATTAGATTGAGCGCTTAGAAAAATTCCAGAGTTGGGGCGATGATTTAGAATTAGAAATTTATAGACTATTATGATGTTTGTCAATTTGATCGTGGGGTGTGTGTGGCTTGATGAGAGGTGCGATTTGCGTTTTTCCCGTGAAGATCCTTATGTAAAGGTACTGCATAATTGTAGAGTAACCGGATCGTCAATCAATGCACAAATTTATATAATTGAATTCTGTCGGCATTTACTGAAAAAAGTCAATCTGATCCAGCGAATTTTTTTTTGCTTTCCTTTCTTTATAAAATTCGGTTGATAATATTATCTATTTTTTTTTCTCAGGTAATATCGGCGTTCGAAGATATAAGAACTTTACTGAAAATGCAGAGCTCGGTAAATGAAATTAAAATTCATTTTATGATCTAGTTCATATCGAATCTGATAAGATATATTTTTTGATATCACTAACAATATCATATGGTGAAGATAGAACGTCTTGGGTTAGTGGAGCAGAAGAAAATGTCAAGATGGTCATTCGTAATGTACAATCGGTATGTTTTTGTATGGCTCATTGTTTTCATTAGATCATAATATTTACGACTATATCAAATTTAGGCAATGAAAAAATGTTCTGGACTACAATACAAGATGTGGGAAAAAGTGAAAAATGAATTAGGAAAATTGGATTTGAGTAAATTAGGGTATGATTACCCAGTATGTTCTGGAATTTTGGACTGCGAATCCGAACCTATATCCACGTTATTGCCGGAGCTTCGTACTGTGTTACAGGTAATTATAAACAATATATTTGAGCTTCAATACTGTATATTTTTATTCTTATTGATGCATTCCTTATAGAAAGGAGCTGATGATTTTTTGATAGAAAAAAACAAAAAGATAAGTGATCTTTGTGAAAAATTTACTCTTGAGGAGGAGAAACGTATTCTGGCGGAAGAAACAGCATTACCGCCCCGTATAGTATCTTCTGGAAAATGGCTAGATCCATCGGAAAAGTTAGAAGCAATTACTATACAGATTTTTGAAGTATTGTAAGTATCTACTACATTATTAATCCACAATCCGCATCTATATAATTAATCAATCAAAACTATATTTTAGGCATCATTTATGGGTATCAACCAAGTATAGAGCATTTGTTCGCCATAAAATGCCAATAAATGAGACATCATATATGTGCGAAGTATTGACACGGCTATTTGATACAGTCATGAGTGGGATACCTATAAAATGCGAAGCTTGGGTGCATGGTTGGTATTTTTTTTCTATTTTATTGATTAAGCCTTAACTTTGACTTTATTATTTTTTGAACTTAGGGATAAACGAAGCTTGGTTAGTGCATCTCGAGCGGGCGATTGGAGAAGTGCAAAGAAATCAGATTATATGTTTACAGTAGAAATAAGTGACGTAGAGGTTGAATTATTATATTGTGAAACTGGTCGTCCGAAATCTTCACACGTGAAACAGCTAGAGGATCATAGAAAATTGGCAGGACTCTCTAAGGATTCGATTGAAAAAACCAGATCAGAACTTAAAGCATCACTAAAAAAGTCGACATTGAGTGAACATTTGTCTATATTTACGGTTAATGTTGCGAGTATGTATATTTTTTATTTTATCATTTTTTCGGAAATGTGCTAAAAGTTTTTTTTTTAGGCGACATAATAAAAATCTATGTGATGAGAAAAGAACACGGGATTCTTGTTTATCGTTTACTCACAACGGCGAAGATCCCATTGGGAATTGCATCCCCCGATGAAGTCTATACGCTCATCCATGCATTATTAACATTACGAGTATGTTTTGATTCTTCTATTATTAGGATGGAATTTACAAATCACTAATACTATTTTTTTTATAGACTGCCGTTGTCTTTACATTACATAATCTTTTAGTACGTCTTGATGAGTCTAGCGGTGGACAATCCTCTGACGAGACTACATCGACTATTGAAAAATCTAGAAGAAAAGGAAATAAATAGTTTTAATTTGATTGTATCCTTAGAGAGTTCTGCTAATTTTCTATGTTCCTTTAGTATTTATATCCTGTAATTTTTTTTTATCATATATCAATAAATCTGGTCGTGGTGGCTGATTTCGCATACTTAATATTTCGTGAATTTATTTTATTGTATTGTTATCGATGTACATTAATTTGAGAGAAATTTTTCTTGGTGAAAATGATCGGCGTTCCGAAAAAGGACGCACTAGTAATTTTTTCGTGTATTGTACAGCCCCCTCCCATAAATGACTGAGTAACACAAAATTTCGTAAATTATATGTCGAATACATATCAAAGATAGATGTTTTTTCTTTCGGAATATCCAAGATAGGACTATCAATAACTGGTGCCTCATCGTGTGGAGGACGAAGCATAAAGTCAAAGATATCTCTATCTTTTGGAAATAATGCTTTCTTTGGGCGGATATGCTCATAAGTTTTTTTACCACTTTATTTCAATTACTTTCGGGGTATTGAGTATTCGCAAGGAAAATGATTTTTTATTTGCGATATTATCAACAATATCTTTGCTCTGCAGACTTAGTGGGAGTTTTTTACGAACTAGTTCAGTAAATATTGCACAAGCCGTTATATTTTTAGGTCTTATACCAAATGTTGATATATGGTATGACATTTTTCCTTATCGCTACTACTGGCAATAGTTAAAGTATGAGGATTCCAATCTGAAAATACTTCTTTACAGGTTCTTGAAAAGGCACGACAAAGTATATCTTTTATCTCTTGAGGTGAAAGCTTGGGTTCGATTTTATCAAATGCTTCTCGGGACAAATCAAAATCTATAAATGGACGAAGTGGATCGTCTCCATCAATATATTCATGTAGCGAATGGCCTTGTCGCTCACTAAGAATTGTTTCTATTCCATCTTCAGCATCTGTCCCCAGTAATAGTAAAATATTTATGCACTCTATATAAAGGAAGGAATACGTGTATTGGTCTGGACATATTAATATGGTAACACGATTTGTTAACATACTGAAGAATTGATGAAGGTTTGCATTCTGCGATTGAACGCTAAAGATTTTACCCATCGCGTTCACAACTAGCGTCATACATTACTGTACGCCAGCCAAAACTTAGTTAATTCCGGACATCCAATCGTATTGCTTGTTTACTTTCCCACGGCCATACCGTCATTATGAGTCAAAGTGAGATGAAATATTAATATTTTTCTTTAAATACTAGAAAGAAGGAAAGACATAGTAGCGAAATATAGTAAGAGAGGATTAATAAAATGATTTGTAGTAGATTGAACAATTTGAATATATTACGGGCTAGAGTCAGTCAATTATGTCTGCCGAAAAATGGTCGGTTTTATTCCACTCTACCTCGGGATATCGACGTAATGCAGTCTCTTTTACTTATCTTCTACTTACCATTGATTTTGCTTCTCACATTTCCCTTAACCTTTTTATTCTTCGTATTGTAAAAAAGCACACAAAGCTCAAAATTTATCCTGCTACAACGTTAAAGCAGTTGACTCCCCATAAAGACCTCATATTCGGCCGTACATTCACTGACCATATGCTCACTATCGAATGGTCAAGCGACAGTGGTTGGGCTGATCCGGTGATAAAAGAGTACGGCACGCTTAGCATTGAACCGAGTGCGTCTGTGTTTCATTATTCGTTCGAGTGTTTCGAAGGTTTGAAAGCATATAAAGATAAAAGTGGGAGGACGAGGTTGTTTAGGCCGGATATGAATATGAAGAGATTTAATAATAGCGCGAAGAGAATTGCGTTACCGGTGGGTTTGGAGAGCTTTAAGGGAGGGACGTGGTTGAGTAGACGAATTTGAGAGACTGATTAAGATTTGTGAAAGGAGTTGTGTAAGGGCAGACATAAAAAAAAAGGAAGAAATGGAAAACCTAAACGATATAGTCATATTCGATACTTCTTCCTATAAGTCAGATAAATTCCGTCACTGATGACATCCTTTAGTTCTCTTTATCCTCCCTCTTCTGTTTACCTCTTCTTACCCTCTATTCCCTCCACTCTCAATCTACCAGACTTTCGACGGCAATGAATTGATTGAATGCTTAAAATCTCTTCTCCGTCTCGATTCCCACTGGATTCCAAACGAACGCGGGTACTCTCTCTACATCCGCCCAACGCTCATCAGCACCCAGAATACCCTTGGGGTTGGTCCCGTTTCGCAGGCGTTGCTATTCATCATCTGCTCACCCGTTGGACCCTACTATAAAACCGGATTTAATGCAGTGCGATTATATGCAACCACTGAGAATGTCCGTGCATGGCCAGGCGGCACTGGAGATGCTAAAATCGGAGGAAATTACGCGCCTTGCGTAAGGCCGCAAGTCTTGGCAGCAGAGAAGGGATACCAACAGAACTTGTGGTTATTTGGAGAAAAGCATGAGATCACTGAAGTCGGGACCATGAATTGTTTTATGTTTTGGAAGAATGAAGATGGCGGTAGGGTTTTGATGATAAAAGTCTCGTGATTTCAGGTTCCTGTAGATGAGCAGTATTGATTTCACACATTATATTTCCTACAAATTTGCTTTCTTCCTATTGGTTTAAAGAAACCGAACTTGTGACACCTCCATTGGATGGCTCAATCCTCCCAGGTGTTGTGCGAGATTCGGTATTATCTCTCACGAAATCGTGGAACGAGTTCAAAGTCAGCGAACGCAAATTTTGTATGTCAGATATCGTTAAAGCATCTGAGCAAGGACGGTTACTTGAGATGTTTGGTACTGGTACTGCATGCATCGTTAGTCCTATCAAAGAGATTTATTACAAAGGACAGGATATAAACATACCATTGGATGCAAATGATCCTTCGTCAAATGCTGGACCTCTTGCTAAGAGGCTTGCCGATGAACTGATGGGGATTCAGTATGGTGAGATTCCGCACGAGTGGTCGGTCATCGTTTGATAAGCCGGAAAGTGGCAAGATGAGATCTTGGTGGTTAGGCAGCTACTGACGTATAAAGACTTTTGAAGGTGTACACTTTTCGGTTGGCAATGTTCTATGGTCTAGATAAATATAATATTTTCACTATCTACTAATTATGTTGGTGTTGTTTGAATTTCAGCTCGTCATCTCTGAAATGTGTTTTTGCTCACTCTATATCATTTACGTCCGTCATCATAGCCTGTACCATACACGTTTAAGAATAAACAGATATTGATCAGAATCGGTTAATCCTATGTCTGAACGATCCGTGCATGCATCACGATCTCGCTTCCAAAAAAGAAGTCAACAGTTCAACCTTTGCTGAGCAAGGCAAGCCAGTTAACTGGGACTCTCGTTTCAACAATGCTCGATATTCATACTTTGAAGTCAAGTGATAGAATTTTAAACAATGTAGCATAATGAAACTAATGGTAACAAAAATCAACAATAAACAAGAAGATAATCTTTTTGGGTGTCATCAGATAATCCGTGATTCGTCAAACATAATTCGAAACGCAGTTTTAACCGAAATATTTATGTGCCTTCCATGTACTGGCATTAATAATAAAGGGACTATTTCCCTCTTTAAGATACTTTTATTACAATGGTTTCTAGGTTCACAATGGATGTAAATTAACTTGTATTAATATTTATACACAATGATACTATATCCATTGTTTATTTGAAACAAGTAATATCATATCTAAGATGAATGAATTAGCTTAGCAGTAAATAAGGGTTTAAGATCATTATAATTATTTGTGCTAGTTTCCACACATTATGCAAATGACAATAATTTTTGTGTGGGTTTGAAATTGAAGTGGCAGTTATAATGTCTGCTACAAAAACTTTGTTTCCGATGTATTCCAAATTAAACATTGTTTTCAAAATTTATCAGAGTTAAGTTAAATACAGCTTCTTCGTCAGGTTTTTAAAACTTATACTCAATTGAACTAATTATGATATACTAATACTCGCTAATTTATTAATATTAATTCACGTGATTCAATTCATTCTGACGTCATCCAAATTTTCTAATTGCAATTAAAGATCAAACACTAATTATCGTTGATTCTCCCTCTTTTCTTGCCTTATATCTGTGACCCTTGTTGCACGATGGCAAAACTCTCAAAGGGCAAGTTCATGAATATACATGTTCCTCGTCAATTTTATCCACAAAACATATTCTACATTTTTATCTCGTTAATGGATGGATGAATTGCGTAAACTAAGTACTATTGCTCGACTATAGATGTGAGCTCTTCAAGACGTAAGAGCCGTAAGGCACATTTTTCTGCCTCTTCAACGGTCCGAAGAAAAATAATGAGTGCAAACTTGTCCAAGGATCTCAGGGATAAATACAACGTACTATATACTTTATCCTTATGCTATATTATGCTCTAATAATTATGAAATCGAACACTAAACGTCAACATTCTAATCAGGCCCGATCAATACCCATACGAAAGGATGATGAAGTCCGAATTGTGCGTGGTAGTAACAAAGGTCGTGAAGGCAAAGTGCTTCAGGTCTATCGTAAGAGATGGGTTATTTACATCGACCGCATCACCAAGGAGAAACAGAATGGTGGCGTTGTACACCTTGGTATTCATCCTTCGAAAGTTGTTGTTCATAAATTGAAGCTAGATAAAGATAGAAGAAATCTTCTGGAACGGAAGAATAGGTCCGCCCCAAGTAAGGGCAAGGGCAAGGCCGCGGAAGATGATGCTATGGAAGAGGTAACGATTATGATGTGAATCTGACCAGTTTAAAATATTGTTCTTACACAAATTTATGTTTGACTCTTCAGTAAACCGTTTGAAGATTACGACTTAGTTCTTAATGCGATAATAAAGAGGTGGATAACAAAATCATCATTACTATTTCATGTCCTATGATCTATTGATCTAATTAGCTGCTGGTACACAATTGTGATAATATCTAATAACAAACCGGACAACTTTTTTAATTAAGTCGCCATGAGCATTGAGTATTCTTTGCGATCATCTTTGTAATGCTATTATGGACCAGGCAACTGCGTGCGTGTGTGGAAAAGAAAACGAGTTATGGAGCATCTTTCTAATTAATAGATGCTCGTTTTTTTTCTCATACGATCTTCATGTACGACTGTTATTAGACTTTGTCAGAGACTAGTTTTATTATGCCACCAAATATCAAACACCCGACGACAAATTCTAAAGGCAAAGCAGTCCTTGCTACGTTAGAATCCACTTGGAATAGATGGAAATTTTGTGATTCGGCTTGCTCACTAGATGGAGTGGATGGGTTGCTGATAACCTTTAATTTACCAGTCAGTTATATGTAAATGTTGTATTGGTCATTATCCTTTTATTGGCATAAATTCACATACGCAGTCATCTTATAACTTACCAGTTTGGATGTCGTATTGATTTCCTTTCTGGACTGAGTCAGCTCATATTTGTGATCCGTGAGTTCTACGTTCTGTACGTTTCCGAAAAAATCTGTGACCAGGACCTGTTCAATTAAAAGTCTTTTTTGTTAAGAATATTTGAAAGAAAAAATATCCAGCTTTATAGTCAAGTGTACTGATAGTTACAATATGTACGAACCTTATCTAAAGGTCTTCGAAATAAATCGCTCCTCACTCCAGGAGTTGAATGCATTTGTGCTGGATCGTATGTTTCAAACAAATCCTTTAACGTAGCCTTACTCTGCATATCAATCTTTTCTAAGAACTCCAGGTTATAATAAGTAAAGCGATCGATTACGGCTACACCAATCTCGTTATCCATGTGATGCTAAGATAAAAAAAAAAGAATGTTCAATATAATTTTCATGGGTTGAATAAATATTAACAAGGAACATACCGAATAAGAATTCTCTCCAAGTTTACTGCTACCAGTTGATAATATATTAGGAGAATAAATCTGACCGTACATAGTATTTGCTTGACAAGTATCAATCATGAATAGGATTTCGTGGTATCTACAATTTAAATATCGCCTGTTGATAAACGCGGTTCCCTTCTTTCTTAAACGTGAGTGCAGAATTACGTACCTTCTCTTTTCCCACATTTGTTCAAACGCATCTGCTATGTCATAGCTACTGATTTCTTCCGCGTCTTGGAATTTCAGAAACTCATTGCCACCATGCCCAGTCATGTATACCAATATATTAGATCGATCATCAGAAAGCAGTCTTTTTGAACGAGGAGTTTCCGGAGAGACGCGACCTATAAGCCGTGAGAGATTTAGTTCCAGACAACGAACAAAAAAAAAGACAAAACGGAAAAGGTTCTGGCATTCATACCAGTCAATACCCGAATAAAGTTTTCAACAGTGACTTCATATCCTCGATAATCCACTTCAACGTTGTCCCCATACAAGTCAAGATATTTGCCAGCATTATTAAATACGGTTGCGGGAAAAGCATTTCTTGCATTACATGCTACATCATCAGCCAGCATTAGTATTATATTAGAATCGGGAATTCCGAGTCTTTTAACAGTACGGTATATTGAGAGTGCATTCGCAATATGTCGATAATTGAACCAAAAGCGCGAAGTGCATACCTAATGAGAGATGGAGTAAGAATTGGGTATAAATTGCCAGACACCAATCGACAACAAATCGCTAATCACGTACCAATACTGCCCAGTTATTGGTATGACCACTCCGACCAAAGAAGTCGTCAATAGCGGCATCATTTTCTGCTCTAATGGTAATTTGTAGGTAACCGTTTTGGGTGGTTAACAAGATCAAAAGAAAAAGTACGAGAAAACGGCACTCCATGGCATCCGAATGTATATATGGTTTTTGCTAACAGTTGAAAAGAGTGGGTTGTGGAGGCCAACAAACCTCCTATCAATGTGTTCTAATCACGATCCGTTTTGTAAACAGCTTCTGTTGGATGATAATAATGTAATGGTAAGCCGTAATAATTCAGAAGTCTCGTGACTTCTAGATCGGCTAGTCATATGATCCTATAAAGTAATAATGAATATTCGTTGGAGGGGTGAATACATAGATGACATGGATTTTTAATGTCAATGTGTAGAATGCACATAGTACAGTCTAATCTTGTTATAACGAATTAATAATAACAACAACAACAATAATAATAACAATAATAATAGCGTTTCGAAAAATCAGTGACAGGCGTAGTAGTAGCAAAAATTAGTGACAGTACAAAACGCTATAATTGGCAAATATTGTTGTAAAATAAAATAATACTACTGATCTTAGTTTATTATAAATATAGCATCTCCTTGTTCAGCTGCCTTTTGATACAGTTCAACACTCCAAATGAATGGCTCACTTAAGGTGTAACGGAATAGCATTGATAATAAGCTGTCCGCTGATCAAGTTCATAATTAATTATCGAGACGAATTTGTTTAATTAGTTTAGTAAGACAAGTGACGGATACTGACTAGTCGCGAAGATAGCCCTGTTAAATTTTAAAAATAGTATTACTCCCCTTCGATTCTTTAATAGAATAATTGTTGTTATTATTTTATTAGAGGTGCCCATAAGCAATGGACGATGTTAATCTTGTAGATTGACTTTATATGAACAGAACAATTGTTATCTTAGTAACCGCCACTATCTCCCTTACTCCTCGTCAACCTCATCTAACTCTACCTCTAAACTTGGCAAGCTGAAATCTGACAAGGGAGGTAACTGATAAGAACTATTTATTGGTTTAGGCAGATTTCCAGTAGGTAAGAGCGTGCTAGAATATTTACTCTCCTTTTCGAGACGTGATAAGGGTTTTACATCATTATGATAGATGATATTCCATGCGTTGTCGTATTTCACCTCTCCAACAAGCTTGCCAATATAACGCAAAAGTGTCTTTGCATCTGGACGCTTATCAGGATCAGCATCACAACACCGCTCGGCAAGTTTCTTGTATTCCTCTGGT